AAAAAAAAAAAATTTTTTTTTTGAAGTGATAACCTGTAGTTCCAACACTGTAAGAGGATGAGGCAGGAGGATTGAAGCTACAGTAAGCTATGATCCTGCCACTGCACTCCAGCCTGGGTGACAGAGGGAGATGCTGTCTCTAAAGAAAAAAGGGGATGGGGAGAAAAAGAGAAAATGTGGTATATAGTGTAAATATGTATACCATAAAAATAATAAAGGTGATACTGGCTTTCCCTTTGTAACTGATAGAAAGTTTTCCTTTGCAATTCATTGAGGTGATTTCAAAAGCAGGCTGACTCATGCATGCTGGTGGGAGTTTCTACTGCTTCAACTGCTTTGGAAAACTATTTGGCAACATCTAGGAAAGTTGTACCCCAGCAGGCTCAGAAATTCCACCCCCAGGCACTTCCCTAAGAGCAAGGAAAGCCTGAGTCCACCCACATGCTTGGACCTGAGTGTTGCTGATATCAGCTGCATTCACAAAGTGGTTTATAGTCAGTCAAAAGCTCTCATATGCTTCATAAAAAATGCTAAGTGCTCAGATGTTGATCAACAGGAGAATGGAACAATAGAGTGCAGTCTATTCATACAGTAGAACATTACCCAGCAACAAGAAGAGTAAATAAAAGGATATAGGATATTTATTTTCAGCCCTTTCATTCAGGGATGAATCTAAATATATATATATATTTTATATAAATATCCCTTAATATATTACATTATAAATATATTTTAAAATAAATAATTATATACATATATAACTTTAAACATATTTATATTACATGTATAAATGTAAATAAACATATTTTTAATATATAATATATATACTTACATTATGCAAATATCTATATATGAGTAAGTGACAAAAGCCAGACACAAAGGAATATATATTTGTGATTTTGCTGATACAAAAAAAAGGTCTGGAACAGGTAAAATGAGTCCATATTGATTAAAGTCAGAATAAGGTTATACTGGGCTAGTGGACACATTCTGGGGTAGCCAGAAATGGTCC